TGAGTCATAATTATTGTGTACTTATTGTATTATGAACTCGTATTAATTGTTGCGTTTGTTGGAGTAAATTTCATTTGGAAGAATTGTTAACTTAATGGAATGGGAGCGGGTGGTACGCCTACCACAAGATTTAATGAAATGGGAGCGGGTGGTACGCCTACCACGAGATTAATGAAATGGGAGCGGGTGGTACGCCTACCACGAGATTTAATGAAATAGGAGCGGGTGGTACACCTACCACGAGATTTGATTAGTGAGAAATGGCATCGGGTTGCACGCCTCCAACGAGATATGTACTGGCAGTGAAATTGCTTTTATTTCCCTTATCCGTGTTAAAGTCAAATTATTGATGTTCTTTATTATTTTCTTAAAATTCTGTATTATCTGCTACCCCCGAAGCATGTTCCCCTCCCATCCTTACTTGTTTATTCCTGCTTTACTTTCCGTTGTACATTATATAACTACACAGATTTATTTGGTAGTCTGGTCCTAGCCTCGTCACTACTTCGCCGAGGTTAGGCTAGGCACTTACCAGCACATGAGGTCGATTGTGCTGATACTGCACTCTGTGCTCTTTTGCACAGATCCAGGCCCCGGACAGCAGCAGTAGCTCGGGAGCCAGCCTTCAGTCCACCGAGACTCCGAGGCCTGACGTCTCCTCTATCTTATATTTTACTCTGTTATCTCATGTTTTCGAGACAAACAGTGTTATATTTCTTTCAACCGATTGTATTTAGTACTCTTAGTAGTCCGTGAATGTAGTGACACCAGTTCTTGGGTAGAGGCACATGTTGAATTCCGCATTATTGTTCAGTTTATTTAATTTAAGTCTTCCGCTTTAATTTCATATTTCCGCTGTTATTCTAATATTTATCGCTTGTGGTTATGAATGATAAAAAGGATTTAAAATAAAGAAACTAGGAGTTTATGATTTGTGGCTTGCCTAGCTTCTACGAGTAGGCGCCATCACGACCCCCGAGGGTGGGAAATCGTGACACATCTTGTCGCTGTTTCTGAAGTTGGGAAAGAAGAATGGCGACAACCCATTATCGACTACTTATGCTATGGGATACTTCCAGAAAATCCGAGGAGAAGGACTGAAATCCGTCGCCGTGCACCTCGCTTCCTTTACTACAAAGATACTCTATACAGAAGGTCATTCGAGGGAATACTTTTACGATGCTTAGGGGAAGATGAAGCACTCCAAGCTTTGCAAGAGGCACATCTAGAGTATGTGGGTCACACCAGTCTGGACCAAAGCTCCACTTCCATATAAAAAGGATGGGATATTATTGGCCAACGATGGTAAAAGATTCTTGGGGATTGGATGTTGTTGGACCGCTGCCAAAGTCCTCTGGTGGTCACCTATACATCTTGGCTGCAACTGACTACTTCTCAAAATGGGCTGAAGTTGTTGCTCTCAAGGAAATAAAGAAGGAAAATGTTGCAAATTTCATCCGAGTAAACATTATTTATCGCTTTGGCATTCCTCGCTACATAATAACGGATAATGGAAAGCCATTCGATAATAGGTTGATGAACAAGATTTGCGATCTCTTTGGCTTCAAGCAACGTAACTCTTCGATGTACAATGCTGTCGCCAATGGTCTAGCTGAGGCATTCACCAAAACTCTATGCAACTTGCTAATGAAAGTCGACTCCAAATCCAAACGATATTGGAATGACCATATGGAAGAAGCTCTATGGGCATATAGGACAACTCACCGTACGCCAACAGAAGTGACTCCTTATTCACTCGTTTATGGAGTCGAAGCCGTCTTGCCACTTGAGCGTCAAATACCTTCATTACGATTAGCTATTCAAGAAGGGATCACTGATGAAGAAAATCGATTAGCAGAGTTGGAGGCTCTTGATGAGAAGAGGTTGGAAGCTCAACAGAGTCTTGAATGTTATCAAGCTCGATTATCTCGCGCCTTCAATAAAAGAGTTCGCCCGAGATCCTTTCAAGTAGGAGATCAAGTCCTTGTCGTACGAAGACCCATAATTACCTCCCACAAACCTGTAGGAAAGTTCACTTCAAAATGGGATGGGCCATATGTCGTACAAGAAGCTTAGTCAAGTGGCGCTTACAAGTTGGTTGATGCAGATGGCATGAGAATCGGCCCTATCACTGGCAAGTTTATGAAGAAGTATTATCCTTGAAGTTACAACTCTCCTTAATGCATGAGCCTAAACTGCATGTTGCTACACCCCTGGCCCGCATGAGTCAAAACTGTGTGCGACCCCTACACAAAAAAAAAAGGAGTCCGCTAGGTGAAAACTTCGAAAGAGGCGGCCTAGGCAAAAGTTAGGACATATAAAAATAAAATTAAAATTAAAAAAATGATAAAAAATAAAAAAATCACCCAGTCTGAACTACGGTATGACTTGATCCTCTTCACCGAGGTACGTAGGCAGCTTAGAGTTTCATTCTAAGTTCAATCGCATAAGTTCAAAAGATATATATTGCCTCAATTGTTGTTCAAATGAAGTATGAAGGAATGTAAGATCAAGCTGAAATGCCATCCTCCTGTTGAACTTTGATCTCATTTGATTTAAAGGGGGCAACCCTCCTTCAATGGGCCGATTTTAGGAGGATATCAAGTATTTGCATTGAAGTCCAGGGATTCTCTATGTGTTCAGGTTCGCCAAACCTTCAAGTTTGTTGGTCTCCAAGTTCGCCCTCTGCCTTAAAAAAGGGAAGAGAAGAGGGGCGTCAAAAGGAAACACAAGTATAAGGAAAAGATTGCTTGGCACAACGTTTCAAATTCAGTGAGACTTGAACTCAAGATATTTGTAAGAATATAGCTCTTAAATTTCGATTGATGGCAAGTAAGACGTCTTCCGATCTCGAGGCTTCCATACCAAGATATGAATTTTTTGGTGAGACTGCGCAAATCTGGAATTGATAGCGTGGAGCAATATAAAGTTGATTTCAAAATATTATCTCTCCGGTAATCTCGGGGCATTTTGAGAGTAATCTCTCCGGTAGTCGGGGCATATTGAGAGTAATCTCTCCGGTAGTCGGGCCACATTGAGAATAATCTCTCCGGTAGTCGGGCCATTTTGAGAGTAATCTCTCCGGTAGTCGGGCCACATTGAGAGTAATCTCTCCGGTAGTCGGGCCATATTGAGAGTAATCTCTCCGGTAGTCGGGCCACATTGAGAATAATCTCTCCGGTAGTCGGGCCATGAGAGTAATCTCTCCTATATTCGGGCAAGAATGAGTACTCATCCCCTCACATCCCAAGATTGTCTTCTTCATGCGTGGATCATCTTGTTGAACAAGAACATATCTTTCTTGTCTGACCTACAAAACAAAAACAAAAAATAAAGGCAACAAAGGAAGAAAAACACAAGAGAAGAAGAAGAAATTACCTTCACGTTAGTGCTTCGGAATTGTCAAAAGTAGACTCAATACGGCTTGCAAACACTGCGATTGATGGTTGCGAGAGGGGATATAGTGCTATACATAGTTAATGAATGATGATTGTCGAGTGAAATTATCTCGATATGGGATAGGAAAATTCACTGATCGGTTGACGCTAGCCTTCTCCGAATTGAACTCAATTTGGACAGAAAGAAGAGTCACTGTGCGGATAGGATTCCTTTCCATGTTTTTCTCATGTAGTATTTGTCTCCTTATTGGAAATGACAAAGGTGTGAGTTTGTGCCATATGGTTAACTCACGTGTATGTGTTTTCTGTTACTTCATCTTGGAAAAGGTGATCATATTTATTGCAATTAAAGCTCAATTGTTACGAGCAAATTTCCTTGGAATTTGAGGTTGGAAGTTACGTGAATTTAATATTGTTACGTAAATCTTTCTAAAGAAAGTTAAAGATTTCTCAAGTCTGGTAGCTTTGGCAAATTTAAGAAATAAATTACGTTTCAAACTCAAGGGATTTAGTGTTTACTTCAAGACTTTGTCTTTGAAGTTCTAACATGCCTGCACTCCAGCAAGTCTTGAAGTATGGGGCATTTTTAGGCATCTAAATTTTATTGGATTAAATCATAAAATTATTTGGGCTATATTTTAAATTCAAGATATATTGGTCCAAATAAATATTATGGGCTAATATATAAAGGAATTAATTATATAGGTCCAACATATGTGGATTAAATAAATAAGTCTTAATCCATTGGGCTAGCCCATTTAATTGTGCTAAAGTGATGAGCCCACTTCATTAGGCCCAAAATGTCATCTTCCTAGAGGCCAAGTTTGGTGCCACGTGTCAAATGATGTGGCACGCCAAGTCAAGCGGAAGAGCCAATAGGATCATGCCACGTATCAAAATGACAAGGCATGCCAAGTCACATTAAAAGACCAATAAAATCGTGCCACGTGTGCAAGTGACATGTTCTGGCCAATCAAATGCGGCCATGTCACACTTCAATTTGATTGGTCGGAAAGAGTTTGTTCTTATCATAACTCTTCCTTCCCACAACTATAAATAGGGGTCTTCATAACTCAGAAAAGAAACCAGAAGTTATAACAAGAAGTAAGAAAGAGCTCGTGGATCAAATGCTGCAGATTCCTCCACAAGTTTGAAGCTTCAAGCAATCAAGTTCAAGCTCAAGAACGAAGAACAAATCAATTTCAAGCTCAAGAACGAAGAACAAATCAAGGTCAAGTTCAAGCAATCAAGCTCAAGCTCAAGAACAAAATCATCGTTCATGGAAACAAATATAGATTCAAGATCAAGCTCAAAGGCCCTTGAATTTATTTACTATCAAAAAGTAGAATCAGAGGAATCATAGAGATTGTACACTCATATTGTTTGAAATCAAATACTACGACTGTTGCGATATTTTCGGTCTTGATTTTATTTTCTTGACGCGAATTTATTGTCTACACATGAATTCCAAAATAAATTTTCAAATTTGGAATTTCACTAAAATTTGAATTGAAGATGAAGTTGTGTTTGGTTATAATTTTTGCAACATATTTGGATGTCTTTTTTTTGAAAAAGCATGAAATATGATTTGTACCCCATAACTTGTAAAAACTATGAAAACCGCCACAATTTAATTATCCTACTTGAAATAAACAATCAAACATGCTATTGTTTAACTATTATCATATTCTGCTTTACTTCAATATACTAAAGATGCAAAATCAATATCACATTTCTAACATAGTCCGCTTCCCACTGCTATTACCAGTACTTGTATTCATATTCACAGGCCCAGTACCAACATGATAGTCGTCACAAGAAAAGGGTTCATTATCTGCTGCAGTGGCTTCATCTGATCGTCGAGGGGAAACAGGTGGGTAGTTGTAGGTTAATAATTAATGGGGTTATTTTATAAGTTTTAAAAGTATAGGGTAAATTTGTAAAATTGAAAACGAGTGAAAATGCATTTTCAATTGAAAAACTGGTAAGACCCAATTATTCAAATTTGAAAATACATTTTCAAGTGAAATTGGAAAAATTGGTAAGATACTAATAACCAAACATTGTTTTCAAAAAAATTTTGGAAGAAAGGAAAAAATTTGTATATCCAAACGGGCTCTAAAGTAGCATAAAGCATTAAAGCAACATGAGGCATTGAAATTCTAAAGTAAGTTAAAGGGCAAGTAGGATATAGTGGTATTATAAAGTCTATTAGTTGTACCTTGAGCTGCTACCCTTGAATTGGTGCATCATATCATCCAGTTTATTAAAATCATAAGGTCCATTTGCCCTGCATACAACGAAATCAAACATTTGTGCCTCGTATATACGAAATATTTGACTACGTTTCACTTGTGGCATGTTATCTAGTAAAGCCACGTTTTCTTTTATTTGAACAGAAAAAGTTATAAAGCCATTTTTATAGCACTTAAAATGTTACTCAATTAGATATTTTATATTTTTGGTGGCCAAATACTTATTTACCCTTTAAATTATTAATTTTTTATCTTCTTAATATTTTTTAATATTATAATTTTTTCTCTTTTTACTTTATATTATGGACTTATCTATTAAATAAATAAATCTTATTTATGAAGTAAAACAAGGAAAAAACAACTTTCTGGCATATATAAATAAAAAAATATGAATATAAATATAGTTTGTAGTCTCCAACTGCAAACTGGTAAGAGAATATTTTTTAGCATACTGCAGCACTATTTGAATTTTCGACGAGGTAAATTATAATTGGATTGCTGATTTTATGACGAATTTGTCTCAATTCCTTCACCCCTCTAATTAACTATTATCTAACTACTCTTAACATACGCATATTGCACATGTACCTTATTTCGATGTGTAATTTTTTAAAATCACATAAATATTATATTATAAATTATGTTTGAATTGTAAAATAAGAGTTTAAGCACCTAAAAGTAATGAATAAAATAAGGGGGCATAATAAGAAATTAATTAAAATAATCTTTTCATATCACTAATTTTGGTAATAACAACAAAAAACTCATACACAATTGAGAGGAAAGAGAATAAAAACTTTTAAAGGATATATTCCATGTATGTAATAATAAAATATTAATTATTTAAAAAATTATATACATAATATATACTTGAAACTTTGCTCAATTATTTTGTTCCAGCATTCTATATGCCTGAATTATTTTTTTATTTATAAATAAAATTTATTTATTCTATAGATAAGTCCATAACATAGAGTAAATAAAAAAAAATTATAATATGAAAAATGTTAAAACTATAGGGTGATAATTTAGAGAGTAAAATAGGTATTTGACCACCGAAAACTTGAGAAATTTAATCGAATGATCTTTTGAGTGGTATAGAAATAATTAAATAAATTTTCTGTTACAAACAAAAAAAAAAAAAGCATGACTTTACTATATAATTTCAAATAGTTTAGATGGTTCTTAACTTCCTTTGCTAAAGGCACTATTCAGCCTAAAGTTCGACCACCTCATTTTCCTTTTTCAAAACTGAAAACCAACTAGAAATAGACTCTCTGACTTGTCAAATATATTGAGGAGGATTTTCCCAAACATCTTTTACCATTGTTTAAAAAGAAAATGACTCTTAACACCCGGGAAACAACAGTTAACTAGACCATCTTTTTTAGAGTTTGAGTTTTATGCATTAACAATCAGAGGCCGATTCAGGATTTAATATTTATGGGTTCTTGCAACAATTTCGAGCAAATTTTCAATAGTAACTAACATTTAAAGATATTTAGTAAAATTTTTGAAGACATTTATACTGTTTGGATAAAAACTATTGGGTTCACGTGAACCCGTAACACGCAAGGTGGATCGGCCCCTGTTAACAATGATGTAAACAATTTTTTACACAGTCAAATTATTTAAAGAAAGATCATTATAAGCAAGTAATTTATATAATAGGCATTTATTAGTAACTAAAAATAAATGATGAGGAACATGATATAAGATGTCCGGCAAATTAAGAACCCCTAGTTGTAAAGCAAAAATGAAGTAACTTACAGAGCAAGCTCAATATTACGGATAAATCTAGCTGAATCGGTAAAAAATAGATTGACGACTTCCTCCACGAAGTTAGGATTAGCATCATCTTGTAGTTCTTCTAGCTGAATAAATTGTTCATCTACATATTCATACACACGCACCATATATAGTTTTAATTAACAAAACAAATGTGGAAAAAAACAAGAACATCTATTTCAAGTGTCAAATGTCAAATTTAGTGGATTACCTCACTAAATATATTTTATAATATGAAAGAAAATAAATACTACTAGTAATTAATAAGACCTGATCGAAAAGGCTTCTCCTCATGTAGGCAGCTTGGCGTTGCCGTTGCATCTTTAGATACAAATACAAAGAAAGTTCACTCTTTGAAAGGGGATATTATATAAATACCACGCTCATGCAAAAGGTTTTGCTTGGTGTATCAGACAAAAGAATATTCAAGGCAAAATTTTACGGTATAGCCAGTTTTTAGACTGGTCAATCAAAAATAGCCAGCGTTTACCAAGTCAATGAAAAATAGCCACCGTTTTGCTACAACAGAGACCGGTCCAGCATAATATACTGGAGTTCGGTGCACCTGTGTATGAACTCCAGCATATTATGCTGGACCGGTATACTTTGCTGGCTCCAGTATAATATACTGGAGACTCAAGCACCGGTGCTCCAAACTCCAGTATATTATACTGGACAATTATACTTGCTGGAACTCCAATATATTATGCTGGAGTTCTAGTGTACTTATGCTGGAACTCCATCATATTATGTTGGAGTTCCAGCATACTTATCCTGGAACTCCAGTATAATATGCTGGAGTTCAAGCATACTTATGTTGGAACTCCAGCATAATATACTGGAGTATTTTTCGGGTTTTGAACAGTATTTTTGCTCAGATTTATCTTTACATAAAAAGTGGCTAAATTTCAATTACTTTTGAAATTGGGCTATTTTTGAACGACTAGTTGTAAATCTAGTTATTTTTAAAAATCTCCCAATATTCAAAGGTGGTCCATATTTGCAATAATTAACTTGATAGTACTGCCACAACATTGCATATATCTTGAACCATATTGGTAAATCCTAAAGGGACAGTTACAAGGACTAAGAGGACACAATTCTAATTACAGGGTTACAATTTTGAAATTCAAATTTATCCAGTGGTATCATTATTGTTAAAGCATTTGTCCTTCAACAGTCGTGTAAGTGTTTAATTTCCAAAGGGAATTTACATGGTCCTGGACTACTCCACCCATTGCTTTAAATTTTTCGGTTTGATGCTCAAATTAAGTCCTCTCTCCTCTCAGATCACTCTTCACCTCAGCAGCTTGATCAGCTTAAGGGGAAGTTTCGCAGGTTTGTGAAGACAGATTCTCGTCACTCAATTTTTAGAGCTGAGCCAACTGATTCAGTGGTCTCCCTCGATCTTTCTATAGATTAAGTTCGTTCTTTGCTCTTCTAAACAAAAAAGACAAAAGAAAATATTTAATCCACGTGTAAACCTAAGAATGGAGTAACACGTGCAGGAGAGTGTTTATAGTACTTGTCCCTCATCGATTGTGTAAGGGTTTCTAAAGGAGTTTAAATATTTAAAATACACCTAATAACTCTCTTCAATAGCTTTTAACTATTTTATGTAGTAATCAAATATACATCCAAAATGATGTATATTCCACAAAAATAAAGTTACCAAAGATCGTATAAGGCAAAAGAAATACTATAACAGAATTGTAATCTTTTTGCAAAATAACTCTCGACTCTATCTGTAAAAAAATTAAAAAAAAATAAGCCGGCATTCCATTCGAAATCAAATTAAAGTAGTATTGTCCTCCACATGTAACCTAGTTGAAGTATGAGAACAAATACTTTGGCATACTGTGACTTCTGGAAATGACATAAAAGAAATGACATAAAAGAAGTGCCTTTTACCGTATAAGGCTAAGGGTGTGTTTGGTAGGAAGGAAAATATTTTCCTAGAAAATGTTTCTTGGAAAATGAGTGATTTTATCACTTATTTTCTTTTGTTTGGTTGGTGAGTGAAAAAAATTTTCTGAAAAAATATTTTCTAGTATTTGGTTAGAGAGTAGAAAATATTTTTTATGTTACTCTCCTCACCCGTTCCCCAAAATACCCAACGTTTTCAGGATTCAATTTTCTTCAAAAATTTAATTATTCTTCTAAAAATTCACACAACAAAGGAACTAATGTATTGCTCATAACTATAAAGAAAATACTCTTTTTTTGGTTGAAAAAGAAACTACTCTTTCTACAACATGAAAATAAAGTAATCATTTTATTGAAATAAAAGAAAATACTTTTTCTACATCATGAAAAAATATATATTTTGTTGAAATGAAAAAAATACTTTTTCTACGGCATGGAAAGAAAATAGTTTTTTGTTGAAATGAAAGAAAATATTTTTTCTACATCACGAAAAGAAAATAACTCATTTTGTTGAAATGAAAGAAAATACTTTTTCTATATCATGAAAAGAAAGTACTTTTTTGTTAAATTTAAAAAAAAAATACTTTTTTGTATCATGAAAAGAAAATACTCATTTGTTGAATTGATAAAAAAAAATCTATCTATAACATGAAAAGAAAGTACTATTAATAATATTTTTATTTAGGGTGGGGGTGGGTAGAGTGTGGTAGGGGTGGGGTGGGTAGGTAGGTGGGGTGTGGAGGTTAAAAAAGAGTTATGAAAAATATTTTCTCTTCTCTTGATAAGGAAAAACATTTTTCTCCAATTGGACAAAAATGAGTTCATGAGAAAAATATTTTCCAAAAACATTTAAGCCAACGAAACATGGAAAAATAGAAAAATATTTTTCGAAAAATACTTCCTTTCATACCAAACCCACCCTAAGTTGCTTGAATTTTTCTCTCTTTCTTTATAATGTACAATTAAAGAACGATAGTAAGATGTTCTATTTTGAGAAAGAACAAAAATGTTCAAATTGCACAAATACTTGGTACATAGATTCTTACTGTGGTCTTTGGCACATCAACATATTCCTCTATTCCGACCATTGGATCGTTCTAGGCCCACAATAGAATTTTCAATTCACAGGACCGATCGTGACTTCTTTGTGATAAAGGGCAACGCCATGCACAAGATATTCTGAATTCATGTGAAGTTCGGGGAAAGGCTGTACTTTAAGGGGTCGTTTGGTTGGAATATAATTTATACCGGTGTAAGTTATGTCGGTATAAGTTATATTGGGATAAGTTATACTGGGATTATTGTTTATTCAATGTTTGGTATGTTGTATTAAGAATGACAACAATATAATTTCTAAGAAGAAGGTATAAGTTATACCGGTGTTAGTTACCCCACCTTTTATAAGGTATAAGTTATCCCAGTGTTAAAATTAACACCGGGATAACTTATACCTGGTTTACTAACCAAACAAAGTATTAAGGTGGTATTAAATTTTTATACCACCCTTATACCTTCTTATACCTCATACCAAACGACCCCTAAGGGGTTATTTGATAGGGTGTATAAGAATAATGCTGAATAAAATATATTAGTAATGCAAGAATTATTAATACATGGGTTAGTAATGCAAGCATTAATTATGCAGAGACTATTTCTTATCTACTGTTTGGTGTGGTGTATTAAAAATTAAAATGCATTACATAATTTTTAAGAAAATTAGTTGTTTACAAAAATATCCTCCGTATTCTTTAGCTTTAAGGGAATTTAAGGACAATTTTGTCTTTAACCATGCTAATGCATGTATTAATAGCCTTGGTATTGCTAATATCATAGTTTGCTATGTATTAGTTATACATATGATAATATCAAATAGGTTGTATAACTAATACTTGCATTAGTACGTAATACATAGGTTGAAAAAGTATACTCCCTCCGGTCCAAAATAAGTGATTTTTTGGATGTTTTCACACAGTTTAAGAAATTCACCTTTTAGCATTAATTAGCAATGGAATTGACCATATTAACCTTTACTATCTCACATAAACACTCCTAACATATATTTCAACACAATTTACTCCAAGGACAATGTAGAAAAAAAAATAATTAATTCATTTTAAAATCTGGAAAAATCACTTATTTTGGACCACATGAAAAAGGCCAAAAAATCACTTATTTTGGATCGGAGAGAGTATACTTTTTCAACCTATGTATTACGTACTAATGCAAGTATTAATTATACAACCTATTTAATATTATCATTGGTCCAAGCAAACTTTGAGCAGATTAAACCTTGACCTGTTTATTGGCTCAACCTACTAGCTGGAAATGCTAGTTGTCCACTTAACACTTTGGAAGTATATCCCTTGTTTTGTCTGGACCAAGTGAATATCACTAGTGATTGTTGAAGTGCATGATTATCGCATCTAAAAGTTTAAGTTGTTAGATAGAGTATATTTTTATTTAATTATATTTTTAATACGTCTTCTCACGTGGGGGCACCTGATACTTCTTTCATGGACCAAGCGTATGTTCTTTGTTATAATGGGTAGCGGTGAGATCCGAACCCAGAACCTTTATTTGCTTTTGATAACATCCTGTATAAAAGATTAAGCAGTTAGAAAGAGCATACTTTTATTTACTTCGTTATATCTTTGATATATTGCTTTTACAATTTCTTGATAAGGCTAAGCACATATTCAATATGTTATAAATACGTTTTTGACAACAATGAGATATTGAAAACCTCAATTATTTAATTCATCCACAGATTTCAGATCACCATTAAGAATGTAGTCTCTTCTTCATTCTAAATCTACTTATATTTGAGAACACTTACTGTCGACAACAATTAATAATGAAAATAATAAACCATGATCGAGATTAACTAATAGAGGATCAGTTGTATATGATCGAGGCTCTACTGACAAAAATAACAGCTCTACAATATAATGATAAAAATGCGATGTTTGAACTACCATACACTCGTAAGAATTTAACTATTAAAGGAAAGAGCACCAATAGAACTAGACAAGAACTTTCTCTTTATGTCTGAACTTTCGTATCATCAAATATTTCAGTCAAATGTCAAACGCAAGATAAGACACGCCATATTGTTTTTATTCCTCTGCCACTCTAAGGTGAGAGCGAAAGAAAAAAAAGCAGCCCGGTGACTAAGCTCTCGCCATGCTCGGGGTCTGGAGAAGGGCCGGACCATAAGGATCTATTCCACGCAGCCTTATCCTGCATTTATGCAAGAGGCTGTTTTCACGGCTTGAACCCGTGACCTCCTCATCGCATGACAGCAACTTTACCAATTACGCATCGCGCCCTTCAAAATTGTAAAACCCATTGATCTCTCACTGTCCTCCTTTTATGGCTTATGAAGATGCGTGGTCACGCATTTTAACT